TCAAGTTACTTTAGTGCAATGGAAATCTCTACAGGCCGCAAATTTTGTGTTGACTTAATGACTTATTCATGCATATCTGCAAGTAATTTCAAATGGTTTGGATGGAAAAAGTATCTGATTAGCGCCTGATTTATCCTCTAGCTTAGTAGTTAGTAGTGAATTATGAGAGTTTTGCGACCATTAGTTCAGCATTTGAAATGAATTGAGTTCAGCCTTTTTTTATCTCAAGCATATCCATAGGGGTTAAAGAATGACCTATTTTGATGATTTCTCCAGGTCTCGAATCCTGGAGTGGCCTATGCATATTTGCATGAACTTCAAATGATTTTGATGGAGACATTCTAGTTAGCGCCTTACTAGACCGTGATCTGATCTCAAGGTTTAGTTCATCCAGGCCAGTAGTGAAGTGCGAGCTCGATAGTGCTCACTTAGTATTCCTCGTCTCATGTGTAATCTGGGTTGATATCACTCTATCTGGTGGGTTTGAGATGTGTACACTCAAATTACACAAGTTTGGCTGGGTAGACACTGCTATCTGTTCCTTTTGTTTCTTCTGGGTGAGGCTAGAGGGCTGTAGATTAACTAAAAAGATTGATAAAAAATTTGAAGAAAATAAACCAAGTAATTTGAAGTCTGATACTGGAGGTTGTTCCATCATGGCAGGATATGTAGTTCATGGACCTCACCTATGTAGATAATATAACGTTTTGGTTTTATTTGTTTGTTTCTTACATCTACAACAGAAGTTGGTTAATATTATAAATTGTCAATTTCAACTCCTCCAACAGGCAAATAAATTGTATTCTGTTTTAAACCTAGGCATCGATACAAAACAAATACTACTGATTGAGCATCACCGCAAAATGTCTTTCTTGCTTACTGCAATGGGTGAACATAACAAAACATTGTATTCCTTATTTTTATATGAAGTTTTCACCTGATAAGAAATTGATTTCATCTTTTTTTTTTTCTCTGTTAGCACCATGCATTCATGTCATGAGCCTGTGACATGTGCCCATTAATAATCAACCAGAGAAGTTGCAGCGCGTTGCTTTCTTTTCTGGTCTACCACCTTGCATTTATATCTCAGTTATCTAATTTGCGGATGTTATATTTCATTTATTTTCTTAATTTCCATGGAATAGATACTGATCCTGATTATCTTGTTATGATAGGAATCAGATGGAATTCGACCTTTCACAATGCCTCTCATGAAGCTTGCTTGCACTGCATTGGAGAGAGTTCCTTTGACACGTAGAAAAGTAATTGATAATTTGATGAAGAAATTTCATCAAGATTTGGTATTCTGTCGTTCACCTGCTGATAGTGAACTGACCATTGGAGTTCATCGTAAGTTGTGTTCTCATGACTTTGTTTGGTATAAACGAGGTTCATATGTTTAAAAACTGTTTTAATCCCCCTAGTAGATCTATACCAGTGTTTGGTTCAATTCTTAATTTCTTATGCTTCCTGAATTTCTGTCTGTAGAAAAGCAGAAGGAGAAAATTGATCCAATTCTGGAGTGGGTAGATACTGAATTTGGGTTCAAGCCCGTTGTCTACACGACCTTCTTTGGGGGAAAGCAAGATGAGGGCCTTGCTAAGGCTGTAGAAACTGTTCTTAAGAAAGCAACTGACTGTGAGTTGGCATCTATTGATGCTATGGCTGCAGCAGCCCATTCCCTGGTGATCCCTCTTGCAATATTTAGAGAAAGGTTGGGTATTGAGGAGGCCATTGAGTTGATCAGGCTAGAAGAAGACCACCAGGTGTTTATCCCGCAACCATCATGTTCCTCCGCTGTTTAGAATCATTTGTCCTATATTTCGTCTTAAGGTTTTTGAATGTACTCAGGTTGACCGATGGGGCTTGGTGGAAGGAGGTCATGACGTTGATATTGCCGATCTTAAAGTGCAGATGTCCTCGGCTGTTGTATTTCTTGAGCTTACACGGGTACTGTGAACGATCCTGTTTCTAATCTATATGTTGGTTAGTTGTTGTTTATTTCCAGGCTTGTATTAATCTAATACCAAGAGTTGTAGAAAATAATTGCTGCAGGAGCTGGATAGCAAACAAAGTATATGTATTCAGCAATCAGCAGTTCTGTTGTTAGATTTTGGATTGAGTTGAGAAAATGCTGTTAAGGTATGAACTAGGGAGCCCAGCATTCCTTTGGCTTTGTACTGGTAATGCTGTGAGAATAAGAATATAATCTGCGAACTAGTTTTGCAGTGGCAGTCATGAGTAACATTCTTTTTGATGGAGTAGAACTCATTCATGAATCCCTACTCTCTCTGTCCATAAAAAAATTGTATTTTTTGCTTTTATAGAGTCAATCGAATTAATTTTTATCTAAAGTTATATAAAAATACTATCATTCATGATACAAAATAAGGATTGTTAGATTAATCATATTTTTATAATAATTCTTTAGAGATAAATGCTAATACTATTTATTATAAAACTGACTTGTTTAATTGGCATAAATCTTCTAGTTGTATTCTTTTGTAGACATGAGTCAGTCAGGGAGCTACAGGAGCTACGCCATGACTTTAGGCGAGTTTGGACCATTGACTTTAGCCAAGCTAACATGGTAGATATACGTGGACTTAGTGAAGGAACAGAATGATAGTTCCTCCGACGTTCGTGGAGCAAATTGAGAAAGAGGGACGAGTGCCTCACACGGCTCCATCCGTGCGTTCACCGTTCAGCGCTGCCTAATCCGTCCTAAAATACTTTGAGTAGTCACCTAATATTAAATTTGACTAGATTTCTACAAAATAGTATTAATATTTTTACACTTAAATAGATTCAGCATAAAAATATAGGACGTGATTAATCTAAAGATACTTATTGATATTATGAATATGGGTACTTATATATTTGATCAAATTTTAGATTGTTTTAACTTCTCAAAATGCAAGATGCATATCTATTTTGATATGGAGGGAATAGACTAGACCGGTGCTATATAGCATCCCTAGGCATTGATGAACTCGACAGGTGGCTTTGTACCGTCCTGTTTGGTAACCTCGGGCCTTGTTCGGCTGGCTGGTGGCTTGGGGCTGGTCAGCATACTCACGAAATTACTGTTCACGTGTACAGTGTTTATACAGAATAATATTTTTCTCTCACAACAATTAATCAGCCGAAACAGTATTTTAACTTATTTTTCAGTCCTGCCGAACAGGTCCCTCAAGCCTGAGGACACAAGTGCGCCCCATCGCAGGTTATATCTGCCAAATTTCCATCTTATAGTTCCACCCACAATTTATAGAAAAGTACTAGTAATATTCGTATCTTTAAATAAATCTAATATAAAATATATTCAATGATTAATTAATCCAATGTTTTTTTTACGTACTATAATTTTTTTTTTCTCGATCACATAAAAAACGTACTATAAATATTAGTAATCTCTTGTAAATAGTTAAGAGACTGAGAAAGTGATGAAGAGACTACAACTCTCTTTATTCACTCATGGCAGGTTGTGCTTTTCAATTTTTCTTCATACGCAAGTTCAGATACTACAACTTCTACTCTGAAATATCGAGGCATTAAAAAAAATTTCTCCCTACGGTTCTATAACTCTCTCTATCATCTTTTGTCATTTGAAAGCATGTGCCGAGCCCTTCTTTTGCTAAGATCGTTGTGTCTGGTGGTTGCGGTTTGTCAATTGATTGAGGTAACAGTAACCGCGATGTCGAAAGCCATGCAAGTATGCAACGAGTTCCACACCGTGGCAAAGAAATCGAGAAAACTGCCCCGAAGCGCCTTCCACGTCCTCGTGTTGTGCATGACCTTAGGGTACTTCCAGAAACCACTATAGTTCTATGGATATTAATTGTACTGTCACTTAAGCGTTTTGCTAATGTGGTAAGGTAGTTATTGAAAAAAAAAAAAATCATAGAAATCGGGTCTAAGTTAGAAACCATGTCTACACAAGAACCAAGACATGATTGGTAGAGAATGGAGAGAAAATATATGTGATTAGATAAAAAATTGTTTTGTAGAAACTATCCATTGGGATCATGGTTTATATATGTAGTGTCTATGAAAATTAATAAGTATAGAAACTTGGGACTGCCCTTATCTACCTATCCCTTTGTCCAAAAAAAAAAAAGTCATCTCGCGTCTCAAAAAGTCAGCAACTTTTAACTTTGACCAAATATATTTAACAAAATATTAATATTTATGATACATAATTAGTATCATTAGGTAGATCGTTGAATATACTTTCATAATAAACTTAGTGGGAGATATAAATGTTGCACGTATTTTCTATAAACCTAGTTATAAAGTTTGACCAGCACGATTCCTATAGCAACTCTATTTTTGAGACGGAAGTAGTAGCTTTTTTTTAATAGAGAAAACTGCCCCAAGCCCCCATGCTGCTGCAGAGATCGTTGACCAGCAACACCGACCCCCATACATACAGTATGCTCCATGTAGTTGTGCATACCGTACATCGGATGACTGCCGCATGGGCACTGTCCGTATTCGACGGCAGGTGTTTTCGTCGTGTGAGCGCGTGGAAGCCGAGCGGGCCGAACTACAGGTGAGCGGATGACTGACGTCGATTCCCCTTAGGTGGACACGTGGCAGTCGATAGGAGCGTCCACGCTGGCGTGGGCAACCACATGACGCCCTTAGGTGTCCTATCGACTGCCACGTGTCGATAGGAGCGTGTAAGCTGAGTGGATACTGTATGCCAGTGCCAGGTGTCCCCTTAGGTGGACACGTGGCAGTCGATAGGAGCGTCCACGCTGGAGTGGGCAACCACATGACGCCCCAGCCCCCAGTAGCTTCGCGGCGGCCGTGCACGCGACCGCGACGCGCGCGCCATTGCCTCTGTTGACGACTTCAATTTGCCGCGCCGGCCGATCACCACACGACACCCGAGCTGTCAGCTGTGCAGCGCAGCTATATATCTCGCGTCCAACTCCAGGGCGACACCGATCCAGCAAAGATACCGAGCAGGCCAGAGCCAAGAACCGGAGGCCATGGCCAGCGACAGCAGCAACCAAGCAGGAGCAGCAGGAGCCAAGCCGAAGCCGAAGCCGAAGCCGCCACCGCCGCAGCTATCGGTGCGGCTCCAGCTGGCCGGGCTGACGGCGGCCATCGACGCCGTGGAGCGACGCGACGGGACGGTGAACCGCTGCCTGTACGGAGTGATCGACCGGCTCCTGAGCGCGCGCGCCAACCCACGGCCGGACGCGTCCGACGTGCGCTCCTTCGACTTCACCATGGACGCGTCCCGCGGCATCTGGGCGCGCGTCTTCGCCCCGGCCACGGCGGACCGCCCGCTCCCCGTCGTCGTGTACTACCACGGCGGCGGCTTCGCGCTTTTCTCCCCGGCAATCGGGCCCTTCAACGGCGTGTGCCGCCGCCTGTGCGCCGCGCTCGGCGCCGTCGTGGTGTCCGTCAACTACCGCCTGGCCCCCGAGCACCGGTGGCCCGCCGCCTACGACGACGGCGTCGATGCGCTGCGGTTCCTCGACGTCCGCGGCGGCGTCCCGGGCCTGGACGACGACGTGCCCGTCGACCTCGGCAGCTGCTTCCTGGCCGGGGAGAGCGCGGGCGGCAACATCGTGCACCACGTCGCCAACCGCTGGGCCGCCGCGTGGCAGGCGTCCGCACGGACGCTCCGCGTCGCGGGCGTCTTCCCCGTGCAGCCCTACTTCGGCGGCGTGGAGCGCACGCCGTCGGAGCTGGCGCTGGAGGGCGTGGCGCCCGTGGTGAACCTCCGGCGCTCCGACTTCTCGTGGACCGCGTTCCTCCCCGTCGGTGCCGGCGCCACCCGCGACCACCCCGCCGCGCACGTCACCGACGACAACGCCGACCTCGCCGAGCAGTTCCCGCCAGCCATGGTCATCATCGGCGGCTTCGACCCGCTCATGGACTGGCAGAGGCGGTACGCCGACGTGCTGCGCCGGAAGGGGAAGGAGGTGCTGGTGGCGGAGTACCCCGGCATGTTCCACGGCTTCCCGGAGCTCCCTGAGGCCACCAAGGTGTTGCAGGACATGAAGGCCTTCGTCGACAGCCACAGGGCCACGCCCAAGCTCGCCGACGCGTGATGAACGAACAGACGAACTCCATTCCATTCTAGTGTTGTGTTGGTGGGGGCGGATTTGGGCGTAGGGACACTAGGGCCATGGCCCTAGGCGTGGCCCAAAATCCCCCTTATGTATATGTAGTTTTCTGGCCCGGCTCTAGATGTTGGGCCAAATCTTGTAGACTCCGGCCCAGCAAAGAGAGAAGAGAGACTGAGAGAGGCAGCGCCCGTTCCGACTCCCCAACTCCCCCGTTTCTTCTCTCCGGAGTCCGGATTGGCGAACTTCAGCTCTCCCTGGCCCTCACAGCCTCACCGTTTACCGACACTGGCACGCTGCTAACCCTAGCCGCCGGAGTACCGGGCGTCGAGTGCTGATCGCCGACCACCGTCCTCCGTCGGTTCCCCGTCCCACTGCCCACCGGTCCTCCACCCCGCCGACGATCGGTCCCTGACGCTCGCCATTCCACCACGCCCACGCGCGGACGCGCACGGCGCACTGCCTCCCGACACCCGGTGCCCACTTGGGAGTGGCCGTAGTAGCCCGCAGGGTGCAGGGCGCAGCTGGCCAGCTGCACGCTTGGCCGCTACACTGGCCGAGTGGAGCCGTGGAGGTAGCAGAAGAGGACCTTGACGGTTGGATCTGCCGAGAACCTGCTGCTGCTGTCACTTTATTTGCTGTTGTCTTGCGGATTGCTATAGAAGAGGAGATTGGTAATTTCGTTTTCTCAAATCTAAGTTCTATTTTAACATTGAACTTTTACCGATCTAGGAATTCCATGAATGAATAATTGATTATGCTGATTTTTGTAGCCTATATAGTTGCACAGTATAGAGTTGTTAATTTTTTTTCAGGTATTATTTTTAACTAGTTTCGTATTTCCATCAATTATGTTGTGGATTTAAGTATCATCTAAACTTATGCATTTATGAGTTAGTTTTGTTATCTATCAGTATTTGACTCGGTGCGGATGGTATTTTGACCCGGTGCGAGGAGCATATACGCTTTGATAGTGGCCCTAGGCGTCTAAATTGACGAGCTCCGCCACTGTTGGTTCATCACTTGATCTATCTGCTGTCAACCCAATTATGAAATTGCTCATGTTTCTCGCGTGTATGACTATATTATTTGGATCTGTCTATTTGGAACTGGGGTGATTTCACCCCTCTCATCACTCAAGCAATTTGAGGAAACAAATCACACAAATGAAACAAAAACAAAATCTAAGTGACTGAGGCCCTATGATCACACGAGTAATTCTAAAGGTCAAATTACTCAAAACTAACTAGAACCGGAATCCGAGTGAAACAGGAGTTGAAATCACACGAATTTTGCATTCCCTTGAAACACCTTCATGCACGATCAAAAATAGCAAGAATTTGCTAAATTATAAGTACAATAAACCTTGTAAATTAAATATTCAAAATAACAAGAACAAATGATAGAAAAAAACTAAGAACCAAAAAAATAATTGTTCTATGGATGAATCAAACAAATCAACTACCAAATTTTTTCACTTAGTATTACCTACATCAATAATACATGGCGATTACACCTAATTAAGCACCGTAAGTATAGTTCAATTCTAGTGTAAATGAAAAAAATTAATTCATACTCCATAAAAAAAGTAAATTTGCCAAGAAGAAAGCAAGATGACAAGGAACAAACACATAATCAAAAAATCAAAACTGCAAATGAAAAAACTTGAATGACATTTAAAAAAATAGAACAAAACATGAATTAATATAGGAAAAATAACCTTCAAACAACCATTACACCTTGCCAATTAGTGAGATCCAAGTAGTCGGACCCAAAACAAACAAAAAAAACTATAAAAACAAAATTCTCAGGCCATTGCAAGAACCAAGAAAATCAAAGAAAATTAACAATCTACAGAAAACAAAAAATTTCTATGGAATGCAAAAACCAAAAACATTTCGAGGCCATTGGATAAACCAAACATATCAAATAAAATAAGCAAAATACAAAAAACAAAAAATTTCTATGGATTGCAAATACCAAAAACAATATGAGAGCATTGCATGAAACAAACAATACAAAAAATATATAAAGTACAAAAATTAAAAAAATTTCTATGGAATGCAAAAAACAAAATGATTTTGATGGCATTGGATCAAGCAAACAAATCAAAGTAAGTACAGTACAATGCAATAAAACTATGAGACACACATGTGCCTAATAAACTTTTATAATTAGTATTACATACATTCATAATACTTATCAATTACACCTGAATAAGGACTGTAAGTATAGTTGAACTCTAGTATAAATAGAAAAAATAATTCATAGTCCATGTAATAATACATAGTACTAGTACTAGGTAGGTAATTGATAGTCAGTTCACGAAAGCAGCAACCATCCCAATGATCAGAGGGTGCACCTGAAGGGGACCGTGACGCCTAAGAGGGGGTTTGTCGATGCGGGACCCACAGGATACCCCGCAAGAGAGAGAGAAGATCTAGTCCAACTAGGATTCTTCCCATGTAATCTCAGTAATAGAACTATTAAGTAATCCTACTAGGAAATCTCATTGTAAACCGATTAGGACCCTGGCCTCCTGACTATATAAAGGAGGGCAGGGCTCCTGAAAGAGGACAATGGTACGACATAACACTTCATAATCAATCCAACGCAAAAGGCAAACGCCGACTGGACGTAGGGTCGTTACTCGATCTACGATCGAGGGCCCGAAACCAGATAAATCGATCGTCTTTGCGTTCACCATCGAAGTTCAAAGATACGCCGAAACCCGAACGACATCGCCACGATACCCCGTGGTAGGCTATCGGTGGTAAAACATCGACAGCTGGCGCGCCAGGTAGGGGCCTTCGGCGACTTTGCATCCGAGAGCTCGATGGACCTCAATAACATGATCTTCCCGACGGGATCGATTTTCATCTTCGGCTCGTGGATCCGCGAGGCGCATAACCACGGCAAGCTTCAAAGTCATCTCCTCAAAGATCCGGACCATCATGAAGAATCCTCTATTTCGATAACTACACGATGGATCAACTCATCGGAAGATTCGTGCGACTCATAATACCCGATTCGAATAAGATTCCATCCGACTCGAATTCAAGCTCCGTAATCCGAGATGAAGTCTTATTCGAGTGCTTTCAAGAAGTCGAGTTCTTGTTGGGAAGATTCCAGAATACAAACCAAAACAACTCGGATTGCCCTCGAGTTTTTTCAAAAGGCCGAGTTCTTTTCCATTTGGAATTTGGACAACATGACAAAATCCTATCGAGGGGACAGTTTGAAAGGTCTTTCAAATCAACACTTGGGATACCACCGACAGAGCTCGGGAGGGCCTCGTTCTAACGATAACATCGCAAGATCAGATCATCCATCGGCGAGTGGTCATTTCTCGAGGATAGCGAAACCCAACCGATCGGCACAACGACAACAGCTATTCTACCTTACCAAGAGGGAGACTCAATCTACGACGCCGAGGCGCATTAATCAAGTCATCAGCAACTCCGACAGTATGACAACTAACGACAATAACGGAACAGCTCACGCACGGGAAGTACCGATGGTTCGACGCCCTCGGTCGCCATTAAACCCCCCAGAAGCACCCGATGTCAGGTCATCAGATGAATCAGAATCCAACATTTCACCCTTTGCTCAGGGCTACGATGGAGAAACCGAAAGTCGAGGCGAAGTTCGAGAAAGGAAAAACAAGTTGAAACAAGGGCGCCAAAGACCAAGGCCGCTCGAAACAGAGAGAGAAGCTGGACTAGATACGAGTCGAATTGGTGAATACGACAAAAGAAAATCACAACAAGAGGTCAAGGGAGACGCAAGTGAGTACGCCTTTACGATAAGATTCGAGAAGCATTAGAAGAACTCGGGGCAACTTCACATCACGGGGAGAAGTACGAACAGCTCCAGGACTTGCTTCGGTCAACGATCCCAAGAACGCATGAAGAGAGAACCCGATCAAGAATACCTGCCAGATCAACAACCCATAGGCAAGAAGATCAAAATCAAAGGAAGTCCGCTTTTGAAAGACTTGGACCAAAGCGGAAGCCATAACGGGAAAGCAGGAGGGAACATAGTCGGGCCATCAATTTGAACAACCAAGGAAGACCAGGAGTAGAGGGCTTACCTGCATGACCCTCGCAGAATTATTCCCATCAAAACAACACTTGGCCGAAGAAGGAGCCGAATCCAATTCAAGGAAGTTTAACGCATGATGATTCCCCTGTTTTGCAAACAAGTTGGCATCGATTCGATTACCTCACAAATTCAAACCGTCTAATCACTCCAAGTATGATGGCAAAACCGAACCAAGACAATGGCTCGTAATATATTCACAATCAATTGAACTAGCCGGAGGAGACAATGATATTAAAACCTTGTTCTTCCCCCCATGGCACCGGAAACGATGCCCTCCAATGGTTTGATAAATTAAACCCGGATCGATCGTAACTTGGGAAGACTTGCAGAAGAGCTTTCTGCGAAAATTTCGCAGTATCATCACACACCCGATCACTCATGCCGAATCGAAGGACTCAAGCAAAAGGGGGCGAAAGTCTCGAAATTACTATCGGCGATTCGGTGAATCTGCGGGCTCAAGTGCATGACATCACCGAACGAGAAGTAATTGAAGCTTTCTCTCATGGAATCATGGCTAGGTGGCAATTTCAAGATTTCTGCAAAGAAAATCCGAGAAACAATGAAGAATTCAGATGAACAGTAGAAAAAATGATTACTGCAGAAGAAAAAACACGAGAAAGGTTCCCGGATAGAAGCAATCAAGACAACCCGGATAGGCAAAATCATCGAAGCAACAGACATCAAGAAAGAAAGCGTAGACCAGACAATAACGTGGCAATGGCCGACAAATCAAAGAAGTTTTCTAAACCCAGAAGATATGAAGACATTGAAAACATACGTTGCCCATTACACCCTAACGGGAGACACACCATCGGAAACTGCTACACTTTCAATGATCGATACACAAGAAAAGATAGTAAGGAGAACACCAAAGAGGACAA